AGTGAATCTTAACTTGTAAGGTGAAATGATCATAACTAGGAGGTAATTTTAAATTCTTATTGTATGTAAAATACACACACACACAGTGCGATGGATAAATTGTCGTCTAAATTAAATAAAATTGAAAATAACACCAACATCTCATTTTTACAGATATATTAACCATAATTACAAAAAGAATATCTATGAAATACTAAAGATTAAATTCCTTCAATAAAATTGCCATTGGCTTCAACTGTGCCCGCTAGATGACTTTGGAATCTTCTGCAACTCTTCTGGGCAGTCTCCTTGTTTAAGTTGGTGAATGCTGCCATAATCTTTGCCTTCAGTTCATCTTTAGTCTAACAAGGAGTTTTGGTGGTCTCTTGCTCAACTGTGCCCCATAAGAATCAAGGGGGTTGCACTCTTGGGAGTTGTGGCTAAATGTAAGGGGTGATGCAGTTGCAGAAATTGTCTGACAGCCGTAACTGGATTCTCCTGCTTGTACGGTATAGTGTAGAGTCCTGTTGCCTGACATAGGGTCTTCCAGCAGCTACCATCTTGACCTAGGGCAACACTACCTCCTCAAGGCACATGATGTAAGTCTCCTGGTTGAGTTTGAGGCCCTCATAAAGAAATCTGGGAGTTCTTTTCTTACCAGAACTATCAGAAAGAGTTTTCTGAGCTGCTGTACCTTCATAATCACCATTAGACTCATTCAACTCTGAATCCTCAGTACTGTCCTCAGATTGACATCCAAATACGCTGAAATGTTCATATTGGATCTTCCGGCAGGAAAGCCAAGCAGTACAGCATGCCATTTGCAAATTCCTGGAAGAGTGAATTGCATCATGGTGCTCTTTTTCTTAGAGACAGTGTCGAACTGACCCTTACTATACTGTGCAGTCAACAGAATCAAAAAAATGCGCATGTGTGAAATTAAAAATAAAATGCCAACAATTTATCCATTGCACCCTCTGTGTGTGTGTGTGTATTACACACACACCAGAAGTCTGTCTGTGGATGGTAAAATATATATATATTTTTTCTGTTTATCCGGTTTTTTTTATAGATAAACAGAAAATATATTAAATAATTGTCAGAGTTAATACATTTCATTATACACGCACAAGTAAAAAAAAAAAAAAATATTCATTTACACTACAGATATATTTTTTAATTATATACGAAATTTTACCAGTCAGTTGAAAGATAAGTCAATTATACTTTTATTAATTTATTGACGATATATAAAAACGGGTGATTTACCTGTGTGTGTGTGTCTGTTATGTGGACATGAGAACTATTACTACTTTTGGGTGCCAAATATCCGTGGCCTTGTGTCAAACTAATTTTTAAACGTAGTAAAAATGCCTGTAAGTCCCGACCTTCAAGATATGGCAATTTTTTTTTTTTTTTTTTTTTTGAATCAAGATTTCGCTAACCAGCTGATACGATAATGGAGAGATCGATTATCCAAATTTAGCTCATGACAACGATTTTGAGAGACTAAGGCAGTTGAAATTGGATTGAAATGAAATAACAAGTAAATGATGATGATGATATCGGTTGTTATGAATAAAAAATGAACCCGGAGAATCTCTTCAGGTTTGAAAATGAGTTTTTTTTTTTTATTTATTTATTTTGGTGTTGAATCAAAAAAATAAATAAAAAAAGAACGAGGAAAAATGTTGTTTGACTTCGAAAATATATTTTTGAAAATCTTTTAAAATTTTAGAAGAATCATTAAAAAAAGAATTTTTGTGTCGTGTTCAAAAGCGGCAAAAGAATTGCGCCTCTTCAATCACGTGGAGTTGTACCGTAAGTGGTTCTGTTTAAAATATTAGTCTTTTTATATAGCCCCAAAATAAGTCAAAGTCAAAAATAAATGAGTGATTTAAAATGCTGTCAAAAAACGCCAACAAGTGAGAGAAATCAAATACTAACTTACCAACCTACACACAAAAGATGAAGTCGATAGAGTTAACTGTTAAGTTTTCTTTTGTTGTAGTAATTTACTAATAAGTGTTAATTAAAACTAATTAAAGACATTATCATTTAGTTACTACACCAATTCGTTTTACTTTGTGTCAAGTAAAAACAATCAACAGATTGCAAATTAAATTCGTTATTTACCTGGCCTCATTACAAGCAAACGTTACTTTTTTTTTTACTTGTTTTTTTTTCTAAAGAATCGACTATAAAACATTTAAAAAAAAAAAAAAAAAAAAAAAAAAGAGTTGGAATTAATTTTCCATTAAATTAATTGCTCATCATTGTTCAAGTTAAAAAAAAATGTCCTTTTGCAAAAATGTTGGTTTAGGAAGCAAGTTTTGATTTTAAAAACGCTTTTTTTATTTCTTCATTAGGCCGATTTAAAATTTATATTACTTATGAAGGTGAAAAAAATGTCTATTTCAATTTCATGAATAAACTTAAACAAGGATTTAATTGGGAAGAAGAAGATAAGTGATGTGAGGGTCACATTCATTCATTTAAGAAGGGTAAAAAAAACAAAAAAACAAAAAAAAAAACAGGTAAAAATTGATTTTCAATCAGAAAGTAAATATAAATAAAAACCAAAAATATTTATTTAAAATTTAAGGTAAGGATAAAAAAAAGAACTTAGCACCCCCCACACACACACTTTGCTTCTTTCTTTCTTTTTTTTTATTTCTTTTTTTTTTTTAATGATTTCATTTCTCGAAATAAAAACATTCAAGAAATTTCAGATGTTGTTGAATGAAAATGAAAACAAATATAGAAAATAAAATACAATTCGAGTTAATTTTAAAACTGGAAATTAACTTTTAAAAAATAAAATAGTCTTTTTTTTTCGACCAAAAACTCATTTTTAAGCACATCTCTTTCCAGTAAATTTAAATATTTTTCTAGATTTGCTTCAATATTTCATTTTTTGTTTTCTAAAATTTTTAATTATAAAATTTGCTAAAAAATAAGAAGTGTCATTTGTAATATGAATCAAGGTAAATATTTTTAGGTGACCAAGTGTTTTTCCTTTTTAGTCTCATGATTCATTTTTTATTGTCAATTTCGTTTATCAACTTTTGATTTTTAATTTTTGAAATAATAATACCGTGACACATCGTCATCATTAAGGGTCGCGTAGATACAAGGCTTTTTTTTTTTTAAATTAAAAGTTCTAGAGAAAAGGAATGAAAAAGTTATCAGTAAAAAAAGAATTAACAATCGCCCTTAAAAAAAGGCTTGTCAGTTATAGAGAAAAAAAGCAGCATCTGATCAGAATTTTCATAGACAAGCCACATCGACAACTAATGAGTCATTGACTTTAACGATCGTTTCTTTTAATTTTTTTATTGAACAAGCTTCTTCTTTCGTCACCTCAAAATAATGATGCAAACGGTGTTTTAGTTTTCCATACAAAAAGATCAAACATGGATTTTTAATTAGAATAAAAAATAAAAATAAAAAAATTATCATTTATTTTTTATTTTTACTTGGGGCAGAAAATGGTTAGCCCGGAAAAATATGCAGAAAAATGCTTCTAAACGAAACCGTTTACGGCAACATGATCACGTGATAGTCCACCTTCTTCCAGCCGAATGCATGTTTAAATGACGTTATTAGAAAGAATGATTAAAAATGACTGCCGTAAAACAATATTTCGTTCTCACCCCCCCGCCTTGAACCGGGAGTGGGGACATCATAATAATCTTCTGATCTACCCCCCCCAAAAAAAAACAGGTGTGTGCGGGGGGGACATGTTGTCAAAACTTTGTGAGAAAGACGTTTCGGTTGAATGACTTAAAAAAAAAAAAAACCAAATGAATGACCTCATCATTGTCGTCATTGTTTCTTAGATCGGAAAATAAAAATAAAACTCAATAATTCGTCTGTAATAAAAAAAATCATTTTTTTTTTCTGATCCTCCAAAAAACAACAATAAAAAAAAAAAGATGAAATCAAAAGCCTGAACCAAATGACCCACGAGTATGTCGATGTGCCTTATTCGTCAGAAATTGAACATTCTGGTCAGGTGATTTTTTTTTTAGTAACATGAAACTTGATTTTTAAAGAATGATTTGAAAAAGAATAGTTTGCATTTTTTTTTAAAATACAAAATATTTTTCGATTATCACAAAAAAAGGAGAAATAATTTCAAAATTAGTGATGAATTCATAAATTAATTATTGTAGGAAGAAGTGTATCTTAATTTAAAATAAGTAAATAATAATAGTAAAATAAAATAAAACAGGAATTAATAATAATTAAAATGAATATTTTTAAAACCGATGATGAAATAAAATAATAATTTAAATCCAATAATGTTGATTTCAAGATTTAATAATGTTGCTTGGTTGATGAAAAACATGATAAAATTTAGCATAGATGCATTTTTATATATATCTATATATTTATGTATTATGTAATATTATATTACACTTCACTAGATTTAGAGTCAAATTACATTTTTTCCCCTTTTGAAATCCCGAAGAAAAGATAAAAAAAAAATGAAATGCTGGAATTTGAAAGACAGGGAGGAAGATAACAACAAAAAAAGAAAGCGGAACTTATTTTTGTGTTTAATTTTGTTTTCCTTTTTAAAAATCAATATTTCACACACAAAAAAAGAAAATAAACAAAAAAGCCGTGAAAGAATAAAAAAAAACTAAATTCTTTCCCTTCGTCTCCTTTCGACAACAGACATTAATAATAATAATCATGAAACCTAAAATAAATAAACGTGAGGGTGTCGAAGCAGAGACATCGAGTGGTCACAAAATGGGGGATCAATCTACGCCGTCGTTAACATTAAAAACTAACCCCCCAGTTTATGTTCGCTTTGTATTGGTCTTATCTGCGTGCTTTTTCTGTCTCCTCACGTTGCTAAGGCAGAGTCGACAGAAGCACCACCCTCGACAGTAATGAACCGGCTATTAAAACCTGTTGTCGTCTATGTGTAGCAAATGCCGAAGAGGCAAATGAACGAGAGACAAGATCGAGAAGGAATCGACATAAAAAAAAAGACTGTTACATACCATCGCTGCCCTGCTACATAAGCCGAGAAGGAAGAGCGACCAACCAAGCAGTGGCCATTATTACAGAAGAGTGAATCAAGGGCAATTAACTCACATTTCAGAATTAGACCAAACTATCACAGAGTTAGCTCCCTTACCAATTTAACCCACAGGTCTGCTTCTAAAGTCACGAGATGGAAACGACTGATTTTTTTTTTTAAGTGTCGCTTGGTTGTAATTTGTCTTCTACTTTAGAGAATGTTATAATTTTTAAGTTGAACGTACTTAATAAATCAAATTTACATCTGAGATGTAATGACATTAAGCTTCACCTGAAGTTTAAACCTAAACGAGCAAATCCAAATAAATTATCCTCTGATTCGAAATCTAAAAATGTTATTTTTCACAGCAATTTTCTGAATGCACCGGTCCATATTGGTGACAGAAATGTCTTTGTTTAGCCATAGCCACAAAGAAGAAAATAATTTGCAGCATAATTTTGAAATTCCATATTAATTCTTTAAGTGATTTCAAGAAAACTATTATTTAATAATAGTAAAAAAAAAATTTAATACAACTTGTTAGTCCTTTAGCTATTATTACAAAATTATTCTATACTTTCTTTCTTTATTTTATTTTAATTTACTTTGTAAAAATTATATGTTTATTATTATTATCATCAGACTGAAGCAATATTAAATTGTACACCCAAACATTCATAAAGGATAGGTTTCTTGCATTGTGGAAAGTTGAAGGGCTGAAAATTTGGCCTTGTAAAAATATTCAACTCCTCCACAAAGGAAAAAACAAATCAGATAAAGAGTAAATCCAAATTGTTTATATTCCAGAAATTGTTGAAGTGTTTTACAAAAAATGTTTCTTTTTTTTTTCAATTCAATTTCTTCTTATGAAGACAGTTTTTTTTACAACAGGAAATAGACATAACACAAAAAGATACCTTAAAGTCTTTTCTTACTACTCCAACTCAGACTGTTATGCCAACTTCTACTCTGACTATCACATGGACTAACTACTTGATGTATAGTTTTTTTTTTGTTGATTTTTTTCTACAATAATGTTCATCCTGTACAATGCCCAAGAGCCACTTCAGATAGATTACAGATTATGAGGCACAGTTTATTTTGACATGTTGGGAAGGTAACATTTAACCTTCTTGAGAGTCAGTTCCCCTAAGCTGCTCAAGTGAAACTTACATCTCACCAATAAAATTTGAAGGGAATGAAGGTTGGTTCACAACAATGTGTTTAACATGGCAAGCCGCAGCTAGGAACGTTAGAACTGGTAGAACTAAGGAATCGAAATTCCAGGGAAATGGAGTTCCAGGGAAACAGTGATAGAGCAGCAAGAGGCTTGCAACATTTCATCTGTGGGAAAAGGGTGGAAAATAATTCATCACCCACAAGGATGCAGATATTCTTTTAAGCACTATCAAGGCTGGAAAGTGAAGACTGGAAGACTCTTGTATCGCTCTTATAAAGGTAGAAATAGCAGGAGGAGTCAGGTACAGGGAAACAGATCATTTTCTCAGCATCTTTAGCAATGGATCATATGTACAAAAGTTCCACTTGTGGTTTGGGTTGAACCTAAACCTGTCAAGGCACAGGCCCTGCCTGAGAAGATGCCTGTTCATCACATTAAATGTTCGCACAGTGATGATAAAATGTTGTAGGAATCCTTTTACTTAGGTTTTTGTTAAATGTCAAAATTCAGAGCATCAAGATTCAATACAACAACATAAAATATTGTTGTAGAGCTGCTTGTAATTCGTCTGTTTAGAATAATCCCACAATTTTCATTGAAAGAATAAAATCCAGTAGAAAAAAGACGTATCAACAAATAAACACTAATCTAAAGAAGTTGGTTAATCTACAAGAAGTTGGTTATAGATTTGAAAGTAATGTCTTTTTGTTTTGGTTAATAACATTCTGGAATAGAATATAAATTGTATTTGGGTATGAATGTGAGAATGGTGAAATGTTGTTATATGTGTGTTTGTATGAATGAATCAGAGTATGTGTGTGCATGCTTAGTAGTAATGGGGGATATAAGAGATAGAATTTATTTCTTACTATGGACTGTGTTGCCATAGTTTGGAGCAGTCTCGTTTTAGTTTGTCAATATGGTAGCTTTTTTTGCATGTGGACATGAATGGGATCTTGAGGATAAGCAGCTAGAGTGATATAGACCTTGGTGACATCTGTGCATCTCATGTTTGAAGCCAGACTGAGTTATATAGACTTCTTCATAAGAACATCAGTATTTTCCTTACCAAGCTACGAGTAGAGAATGTATTGTCTTAAGAACTTTATCATTCATAATGATATTTTATATTCCTTCAATTCTGGTTTTAAGAACTACCAAATCTCACATGACCAGCGTTAGGAGGTTTGAAGCTCAGTTGGGTATAATTTTAGTGGACTCCAGTTTCTAGAGAGTCAAGAATACTCTAGCATGGGGACCCTTAGATGTAGGATCTAATTAATAATTATAATTAGTAATTATAATTAATAATTAGAAGCGAATTGGTCCAGTTGCAAGCATCTGGCCTGGTGCCTCTATATGGCAGAGAGCAATGGTCACCCTTGAAATATTAATAATTATAGTAATATAGAATTTTGTTTATAGGTGAGAAAGATAATCTGTGGTGAAGTTTGTGCTCAGAGAATCTGTGCTTTGTCAGAATTATTAATATAAAATGTCAAAACAATAGTGTTTATATGAATTATCAAATACCATTTGAGAAGAAGAGACTGTTCATATAATCATGAAGGGTGAGAGGTCAGTAATCAGGTTGTATTCTAAGTTACCAACACCCCGGGTTTTTTCACTACCACCACGTTTATTTAAGTGCGTGTTTGTGCAAAAACAGTGGGAGTCAAAGTCAATTGGAGCTGGGTGAAGTAGGCTGACAAGCAGTCAGTGAGAGAGAGAGATAGGCAGAGAGAGTGAAAGTGTCCACTTGCTGCTGTAATAAGCGAGGAAGTGAATTTCCAGAATTATTTGCAATATTTTTTTTCTGGACTTTATTTCATATACACTACTTTCTTGTAAAAGAAGCATTATTCTTTTTGTACCAATTTCTTCCTTATATATATATACATAAATTTTTCTTTGGACTCAAATGGACTTGTTCTTATTTGATTTTTCTGCTTGGACCAATTCTTGCCCCAACAAACTTGCAGGCAGACCAGTTGAATCTTTTAGGATCTACGATTTGTTATTTGCTCTCCAGGATAAAAAAAATTCATAACATGGCTAGAAAGTGGAATCAAATCGACATTGTGAACTGGAGACATTGATTGAACCTGTAATACTAGACCAGGATATAACCAACGGCCAGTCTTGTAAAGTACATCAATGCAGCGGGGTCAGGATAGGTGTTACATCTACTACGTATTTTTTCTTGATAAAATTCAAAGAAGAATCTGCAATGTTATTACTCCTGACCTGGCATCTTGGTTTCAGTCATTTTCTCACCAACATAATGTTGCTTTCCTGTGGCTTTTCTATAAATATTTTCATGGTAATTCTTCTGATGAGTTTTCTTCTTTGGTATTTCAATTTCATGAATTTAAGTGCAGAACTAGATTGGCAGATAGGTCTCATAATTTTACAGTTGATGTTGAAATACTGGTTCTTATATGATCACCAAAGATGCAAGGGGTTACTGAGTGTGAAAAAATATGAGAAAAAGAAAAACATTATTAAGGAGAGAGAATTAACATGAATTATGAAAATGATAATAAGCATTGCATTTACATTTTGGAAGATCAAGGGTTGACTGGAAAGCAAGAAGCTGGAAGAGAGTTCTACAAGTGAGAAGTATGAGGGTAGAAGCTATTAGTATAGAACTTAATTTACATCTAACAATTTAAACTATAAAATGATGAGACCTAACTGCCAACTTAGTACTGTACTTAATTTCATAAAATTTTAAAAAATATTCAATAAAACCTTATAATTATCTGATTTTTTTTAGAATTTAAAGAATTAAGTTTTTTCCTGTTTCTAATTTTATGATTTTATTGCTCAGCCCAGGGTAAGGGTTGTCTAGACTGAATGGGAGTGGAATGTATTCTTCTAATGTCTTATTTCAAACTCAGTGAAATTATGTGTGCATATGTGCATGTGTGTGATGTTGAGCATATATTTAATTGGTACAAGCTGATGTAAATCATTTATGCACAGTGAAGACATTGATGTAGACATTATGCAAACACATGTAAAGTCATATGTGATGGACGGAGAATCAGCTCCTCTTTTATGAAACAGATTCCACCCCCACCCCCACTTTTGTTTTACTTTTTTTCACATTCTATTCCTCCTCTTCTGTTGAGTTACAGTTGACTCTTCCATTTTGAAAATACTTAAACCCTAAAATCCCTGCCCCTTAAATTTACGCTGCTTTCAATTTTTAAACAAAAGTAAAACTCTGTTGTTGAAATATTTAATGCAAGATAATCATTTGTTTTGTTTCTTGCTGAAGTTTTGTTCCTGTTGCCAGTATCAGTTGCAAAAATGTCTGTACTGCAATAGAGAATGCTTGAGTGAATACACAGCATTTTTACAACGCTTGAATGAACAGACGGTATTTTTACAACAACCGTGTCTCTGTTTCTATTCATTTTTCTTTGCAAGTAAATTTCTGTCCTATTTTCAATTTTCCATAATTGCCAAACTTCAGTGCATGACATATTGTAGCGTAATAAAGAAAATGTAGATATTTTTGTTTTACTTAAATGACATGATTTTGGCAGCTATCCTGATTAGGATTTATAATTGATGACGTTTCTTATAGAGAATAATATTAATACTTAATTAATAACAAATTATAACCTTATTAATAATTATGACTAATTTTCCGTTTCATTTTGAATTCTTTTAACAGCAATGATAATGTTACTCAAACCATTGATCTACAGCAATGTCGACATTTTGGATGAAAAATAAAGAACAACCATCAATAGGGCTGAATGCAAAAAATTGTCCTATGAGAAGATGAT